TAAGAAACAGATTTACTGTGGATTAGAGAAGAGCCACCGTTACAGTGTGTTAGAGGTACCTTTGTTTATAGGGTTCTTAGTAACGTAGTCAGTGGCGCTAATTATATTCTAGACTTTTTGTGGCCTACTGTACTTATAGTAGACTATAGTATAATAAATATGCTTTAATAGTCACCTATTATATAGTTACTACTAGAGCTTCTAGCTTAGTAGGTAAGTAGAGAGAGGGGTCTAAGATAAGCCCTAGTACTAATAGTTATAAATAGTTATATAGAGGTTCTAAAGTAGGACACATACGAGTAAGTATATTAGTTAATATTAATAGATTTAACCCCTAGTAGCTTATTCTATTCTACTAGTAGTTCCTATAATTAGGGAAGAGAGGCCACTAATAGCAATATAGCCCTTAAAAGGACTCTCGTTACTACTGTAGCCGTGGCACCTTTTCTTCTAGAGGATGCCAGTCGCCTGTATCATACATACTATCCAGCTAGTGCCTTTACTGTCTATAAAGCTATAGATACTTATCCTCATGTCTTTAAAGAACCAGCGGGCGTTGTGCAGCTTAATAGGCTGAAGGACAGCATAAGAGGATATAGTTATAGTGCGTTCGTTAGAAAACCTAAGATATTAAAGCTTATCTAGTATAGTGTAATTAGAGTTAATAATAGTAACTAGTATATTATTATTATTAGGAGCCTCCCTATGAAGGTGTAAATACACTAGTAGTGGCAGTTTAAGCTATCTCTCTATAGGTCTCTTATTAATAAACTCTAGTAATGTTAGTCGCTGTTTATAGACAACGTCTTAAGTTCTATATTATAGAAACTAGTCGTTCATTTAGACTCTAATCTTTTTGTACTTCTTAACTAGGCTTTACTTCTATACACTATACTAAGTGTCTAAACTATTTAAGCGTTAGGCTTTCTAATTATATATATTATTAATAAAGGCTATCTAACTATAAATTATATTTAACTCTTAACTAAGCTTATCCTCCTTTTCTCTAAGTTTATAGACTTTAGCCTTAGTATTATATATATTAGTTATAATAGCTAATATATTATAGTTCTAACACTAGGAGTATTAGGAGAATAAGCTATAGTGTTTAATAGTATTCTTATACTAGAAGTCGTCTTTTATAATATCCTAAATCCTAGTGTACTATAGAGGTAGGAGTAGTAATATATTAAGATCTTTAAGATCTCTTTTAAGGTTTTTAGATTTTCTATCTATTATATTAGAGTAGGAGATAGATATGTATATTTTAAGCCTACTATATTAGTTAGCTCTAATAGCGACCTTAAGACTATAATCAGTTAGAGTAGTACCTATAGTAATATATAAGTAAGCCTACTTAATTACTAATTTAGTTACACTTAGAGAGAGAAGTTACTATATTATTAGCCACGTTTCTATATAACTAACTAGATAGAAGTAGGAGGGTAAGTAGTGGCTAAAAACCTAAAAAAATGTAGTATAGCCTTAGTTAGTGGATTTTTAATTCTTATTAAGTTAAAATTAATTATATATTAATAAGGCTTCACCTTAATTCTCTAAGGGGAGAAGGAGATATATAATAAAGTATAGTAAAAGACCTAAACGGGTGGTTATATAATAGGATAGAGACGGTCTGGAGATTCTAAGATCTATAGGACATAGTAGTATTTAAAAGAGAAGTGTAGAAGATAAGCGTTAAATAACCGTATATCTAAGTGGACACTATCTCTTTTAAAGCATTTAATAGCACTTAAAGGAGTATATCGAGCATTTCCTATTCTATGAGGAGGGGGCTGGCTGTGCGGCCAGCCTCATTACTCGTTATACTACTAAGACGCTAGTGTTAGCTCTAATAGAGTAATAAGTTGTGTAGATGAAAACTACTACTGCCATAAATGCTAGTACCTAGTGAAAAAGGTTAAGCTTTAGTCTAAGGGCAATAATAAGGCCGCCTAGGCCAGCAGCTATAATGCCACCCCTTCCCCTATTACTATCTAAAAGAGTCTAAGAAGCTTAGAATTTAAGGCGCTATAGAGGGTAAAACACTCTAAGTAGGTGGCTGGTGGTGTAAACTTTACTCCCACTGAGCTAAGACACACACCTGCCCTAGCTCTCACTTGGTCTTTCATCCCTATCTAGCTTTCTTAATGTCAGAATACCCTTTTCCCTAAGGGCTAATAAAGACGATCGTTAAAAAAATCATTAGTACGATTCAGTATAGAGGGTCACTACGTGGCAGAACTTTTAAGGTAAATGAAAGTGGCGTCTTTTAGTAGTAGACTCCTAACTTATAGCCCTTCGTTTCTTTTAGAATCCGGCTCATGAAGTACCTAGCCGTGCACGCTTTTTTGCAGTTTGGGCTGGGCAATGTCTAAAATTTGTGGTCGTAGGGGCTTCCTACGCGAGCCTGTGGTTTTTCTGCGGAAGGAAGAGAAATGTTATGGATAAGCCAGTATAGTAAGTAAGTGTATAAAGTGTTGACAGATGATGAGAAGGCGAGGTTGGAGAAATCCTCCATGGAAGTCCCGTCTGCCCCAAAAACACCGGTCTCTCAGCGCACCACTGAGATGATGCTAACACCAAACACTGATTCAAGGTCGAGGGTGAACCTATTTAGGGGCGCCAGTAGAGTAGGATATGTCTCTATTGTGGATAATTAACCCACTACGCATCTTTTTATTTATAATGATAGTAGTGATAGCGACTTAGTATATATTATAATACATCTTCTAGACTAGAAAGGCATTACTTTAAAAAGCTCTACTAAGTCCCTAGTTTAGTATACTATTAGTAGCTAGGTTGGAAAGTATAAAGTAATACTAAAGAATTTAAAGGATAGTCTAGCTTTTATATTATAGAAACTTAATAAGTTAGAAAGTGAGTAGCCTATTAAGTGATATTATGTGTAATATCCACAGTAAGGCTTAAGCTAGCGCAAAATTGTATTAACTATTATATGAACGAACACTTCTTTATAGAATCTACCCTAAACTTTAGAATTCAGCCTCACTGAAGTAATGAAAAATGCTACTGCCGTCGCGAGCGACAACACAACGAGGGAAGTCTAAGAGAGGCTAAAGTACCTGTATGAGGAGCTGCGTGACAGGATCTAAGACGTTCAGCTGGAGATGCACTCTAACAGCGTTGCGCGTCTAGTAAACAAGCTATCAAGCTGCTGCACGAGCATAATCGTTAAATTGCGAGGGATCGATAACTTGCCCATTCATACTCTGCCTAAGACTTATACTAGCCTGCAGGATCTTCAAGGTGAGCACCATCACGGAAGATGACACAGCGAGAGGTCAGTCGCGACTACGATCAAATTTCTAGTTATCGGCGTCTATAGGAAACATCGATGACATTCTTAAACGCTTACAGCTGAACACAAACGTCCCGTACATAAAAAAGCGCCAGCAGCTTAAAGTATACTTAGGTCTACGAAAGTTATCGGCGTTATAGGTGGTCCTTTGCTTTAACCTTCCTCATCTCGTGATGCTATCATCTGGGGCGCATAATTGGCTGAAAGATGCTGCCCCTACCGATAGCCTGTGCAGAGAAGGCAGAAAGGGACAGTGCCATTTTGTGCTACCGACGACATGATAGCGTTCCACTAGTATGACCCAGCCTTAATCTCGCTTCATCCTTTAGCTGCCAGCCTGAATGCCATGTCAGGTACAGCAGCGTGCCAAGCATATTAAGGGGGATAAGCCAAGTACGACTGTGGCTGGCCCAACTTTTGCGTGACGCAGCGCAACCCAATAAAAACCAGGCACAGAACACCAAGATAGAGGCAAACTTCCGCTGACTAAACCAGGGCACACCACACTAGAATAGAGAGGGGCTTCCGTCGACTCCAGACTGGCCCCTTTTAGCTGGCTTTTGCCCCTCTTGCCTCTGTCCCTCGCATCGGATGCGCCGGGGACTGAGCGCGGAGAAAAAAAAACACCAACTTGTGGGCGTCTCACGCTAGTTTCTCGCTCGTTCCCTTATGGGAGAAGATCTACTCATATCCAATAGATGAACCGTCTCCTCTGCTACGTCTTAATAGCGCAGTAATATTAAAAGACGTCTTTTTTCTTAATAGCTTCTCCAGCTATTAATCTATACTTAAAGACGTTTATAATATTCATATTACCATCCATTTTCTAGTCAAACATGTGAAGTCCAGTAGTGTGGAAGCTCCAGTTGTGTGGATTAGCTTACCAGGTCCGAGGCGAAAGTTTAACACCCATGTCGTGTATCTTTCGCGACGCTAAGCTTGGTTGAACGACAAGGGTTCATAATGGAAAAGAAAAGGAACTTTGCTGACGGCCCTGGCTTCTACCCTAATATGCTGGTATGGGGAGTGGCTTGCCGGGATGTAAAACGTTCCCGTCCGACCAGGACAGTTTCGATCGCACCATGTCACAGCCACTGCCAGTCTATAAATAGCGCGATGCAATGCCAATCGACGATTATACGCAGAACTAGAGCGAGCCGGGTTACGGATACACGGGCGACACGTTCACGCAAGGAGGCGCTTTATGAGGGCAAGGGCAACATGCATGTCAACAGTGTGACTGATGGCTGGGAGACACTCGTTGAATCAGTTGAGTATGGCATGTCTGTTGCATGAACATACGGGTCAAGATGAGGCATAAATCAGGTACGGGATCGCGGTGGCGGCGGAGATGCCCCGAATCGTCCATACCCGAAAGTCACCGAGCCTGGCAGTGCTCCAAGCAGAAAGCAAGATGTTGTGGTTTCTTCCAGGATAAACTAGTCTGCGCCCTCGTATCGAGAGCCTTCTTCTAACACTGCCACCGCCATAAATTCCGCGTATTGCCCTTACTGGAATGACACGTGAAATTCTTGCCGGATAGGCAAGTTAGCAGGATTTTTCAGGATTTTATGGAGAATACTGTTAAACAAAACAATCGTGCACTATAAAGTAAATCTGCGACGTTGAACCGCCACCTCTCTTCAGACGTCGCAATCTGAAGAGCCATTGATTGCCCAACATGGCGGACCACGGCGACGGAGGTCGCTCCCACCACAACAATTATGATCCCGAGTATTACCGCGACGACGTAGCAGATAACGACTCGCACTATCACAATAACTACGCGGACGACCAGTACAATGGCCATGGCGACTACAGTGCCCACGGCGACTACAACAGTGCCCACGGCGACTATAACAATGCCCACGGCGACTACAACAATGCTCACGGCGATTACAACAATGACGGCTACTATGATGAATCGTACGGTAAATTGATCTGGCAAGAGGTGCGCGCATGCTAATGACGGTAACAGAGGATATTACGAAGCGCAACCACACAATCCATACTACCAGGACGGCGGCTACTACGACACTGACAGCCAGTATGCCGATGAGCATGGCCAATACTACACAGACGGCGCGCGAGACTATTCCGACGCGGGCGGTCGTGGCTTCAGCGGTTCCCACATAGACTATGCGGCTTCCGAAAGGTCTGTCCCGGATTCGGGGATGGGCTACCCTGACGATTTCCCAGCCCTAAACGCCGAACCCTATCCCGCATGGTCGTCAGACAACGCTCCCCTCTCCAAAGAGGAAATCGAGACCATCTTCTTGGAACTGGCGGCCAAGTTCGGCTTTCAAAGAGACAGTATGCGCAACATGTACGATCACTTGATGGTCATGCTCGACTCGAGAGCCTCGAGAATGACGCCCAATCAAGCGCTACTATCGCTCCACGCCGATTACATTGGCGGAGAAAATGCAAACTATCGAAAGTGGTACTTTGCTGCATGTGTTGAGCTGGGTTCCAAATCCGCCGCTCGCAAGTCAAGAAAGAAGTCCAAAAAGAACAACAAGGGCAACGACGCCGACCCCGACGATGCCGACATGGGAGACTTGATGGCCGAGGACAACACCCTTGAGGCAGCCGAGTACCAATGGAGAATCCGCATGAGCCGAATGCTGCCGCAGGAGCGTGCGCGACAGATTGCCCTCTACCTGCTCTGCTGGGGAGAGGCCAACCAAGTGCGCTTCATGCCCGAGGCGCTGTGCTTCATCTTCAAGTGCGCGAATGACTATCTCAACTCTCCCGTGGGGCTGGAAATGACCGAGGAGCCTGTCGAGGAGTGCACGTTCCTCAGCAACGTCATCACACCCTTGTACCAATTCATTCGCGACCAAGTATACGAAATTTCCGACGGCGTGTACGTGCGCCGCGAGAGAGACCACAAGCAAATTATCGGCTACGACGATTGCAACCAGCTTTTCTGGTATCCCGAAGGGATCGCCGGAATCGTCCTCAAAGACGGCGTGAAGCTTGTGGATATCCCCGCGGAAGAGCGGTACCTTAAGCTGAAGGAGGTAAACTGGAAAAAGTGCTTCTTCAAGACGTACAAGGAGACCCGGTCCTGGATGCACATGCTCGTCAACTTCAACCGCATCTGGATCATCCACATCACCATGTTCTGGTTCTATACCTCGCACAACGCCCCAACCCTCCTCGTCAAAGGCTATGAGCAGACAAAGAACCAGCAGCCATCAGGCGCCAAGCAGTTTTCCATTGTCGGGTTCGGTGGTGCAATCGCGACGTTGATCCAGATTATAGCCACACTTGCCGAATGGACGTACGTGCCTCGAAGATGGCCTGGAAGAAAGCATCTCAAAAGCCGGTTTTTTATCCTCATTTTCATCCTAGTCCTCACCATTGCTCCCGGCGTCAAAGTCTTCATGTTTGCGACCAAAAAGGGCGACGCCATGTACAAGGTTGACCTGGCATTGGGCATCGTGCAATTTGTCATTGCAGTGCTCGTGTACATTTACTTTTCCATCGTCCCGCTCGGAAACCTCTTTGGCAAGTTTTGGAAGAGGGATTTTGGAACTCAAGCCAGCGAGGCCTTTACGGCCAGCTTTACTGGGCTCTCCTTCAACGCCCGCGTCACCTCGCTTTTACTTTGGGTCACCGTTTTCGGCATCAAGTTTGGCGTGTCGTACAAGTTCCTAACCCTGTCGTACCGCGATGTCATCCGCTATCTGCAGCTTGCCAAGGTGACCTGCAGCGGTGATCACATCTTCGGGTCAACCGCCGACATCCTATGCAAGAACCAAAACATTATTCTCATCGTCCTCACGGGCATCACGGATGTTATTTTCTTCTTTCTCGATACATATCTCTGGTACGTGCTGGTCAACACGGCGTTTTCAGTGGCGCGTGCCTTTTATCTCGGCTCGTCCATCATGACGCCCTGGCGAAACGTCTTTACACGCCTGCCAAAGCGCATCTACTCCAAGATCCTAGCGGTCCCGGAGATGGAGGTCAAGTACCAACCTAAAGTCCTCATATCGCAGATTTGGAATGCCGTCATCATCTCCATGTATCGAGAGCACCTTCTCGCCATCGAGCATGTCCAGAAGTTGCTCTACTACCAGGTGCCTTCTGAAGAGACTGGAAAGCGTACGCTACGCGCTCCCACGTTCTTCGTGTCCCAAGACGACAATTCATTCAAGACCGAGTTTTTCCCTGCCAATAGTGAGGCGGCGCGTCGAATCTCCTTCTTCGCGCAGTCTTTATCTATGCCACTCCCGGAGCCGGCCCCTGTTGATTCCATGCCTACCTTCACGGTCATGGTTCCCCACTATAGCGAGAAGATCCTGCTGTCATTGCGGGAGATTATTCGTGAGGAGGACAAGTACTCTAGAGTTACCATGCTTGAGTACCTGAAACAATTGCATCCTCACGAATGGCAATGCTTTGTGGAGGACACCAAAACCCTCGCAGATGAGACTGCAGGAGCCGTGAAGACAGAAACGGACAAGGACAGCGAAAGAAAACAGATCGACGACCTTCCATTCTATTGCATCGGATTCAAGTCTTCATCTCCAGAATACACGCTTCGCACCCGTATTTGGTCATCGCTCCGCTCGCAGACACTCTATCGCACTGTTTCCGGCTTTATGAACTATGCTCGCGCGATCAAGCTCTTGTATCGCGTAGAGAATCCGGAAGAGGTGCATCAATTCAGCGGCAACGTAGCTCGACTCGAACAGCAGCTCGAGCGCATGGCGCGGCGAAAGTTTAAGCTGCTACTATCCATGCAGCGCTTCACCAAATTCAGCAGCATCGAAATGGAAAACACAGAATTTATGCTGCGCGCATACCCGGACCTCCAGATTGCCTACCTAGACGAGGAGCCGCCTGAGCTCGAGGGAGAGGAACCTAAAATCTTTTCGACGCTGATTGACGGCCATTCCGAGATTATGGAGAACGGACAGAGAAGACCAAAGTTTCGAGTCCAGCTTTATGGCAATCCGATTCTGGGCGACGGAAAGTCTGATAACCAGAACCACGCGCTCATCTTTTATCGTGGCGAGTACATCCAGCTTGTGGACGCAAACCAGGACAATTACCTCGAAGAGTGTCTCAAGATCCGCAACGTCCTCGCCGAGTTTGAAGAGATGGACGCGAGCAAAGTATCGCCTTATGCTGGCAACTATCAAAGCAAAACCCCAGTTGCCATTGTCGGCGCCCGCGAGTACATCTTTTCCGAAAACATTGGCGTCCTGGGTGACATTGCTGCAGGCAAGGAGCAGACATTTGGTACGCTTTTCGCGCGCACGTTGGCGCACATCGGCGCAAAGCTGCACTACGGTCACCCTGATTTCCTCAACGGCGTCTTCATGACGACGCGTGGCGGCGTGTCTAAGGCGCAGAAAGGCCTGCATCTGAATGAAGATATCTATGCTGGAATGACGGCCATCACTCGCGGCGGTAAAATCAAGCACTCCGAATACTATCAGTGCGGTAAAGGTCGTGACCTCGGCTTTGGCTCCGTCCTTAACTTTACCACCAAGATCGGAACCGGCATGGGCGAGCAGTTCCTATCCCGCGAGTACTACTATATTGGTACCCAGATGTCGCTCGACCGTTTCCTGTCCTTCTACTATGCGCATCCAGGATTCCATGTAAACAACATGTTTATCATGTTTTCTATTCAGCTCTTCTTCATCTGCCTGCTTAACATTGGCGCCCTGACTCACGAGACTATTCCCTGCTACTATAATCGCCAGAAGCCGATTACAGACCTATTGCTGCCCATCGGCTGTGTCAACACTGACGCCTTGAAAGACTGGGTCTGGCGTTGTATCCTGTCCATCTTTGTCGTCTTCTTCATCGCCTTTATCCCCTTGGTGGCCCACGAGGTGATTGACCGGGGCTTCTTCCGTGCATGCACGCGATTCTTGAAGCAGCTGTTTTCCCTCTCCGTCTTTTTCGAGATTTTTGCCTGCCAGGTCTACGCCAATGCCGTCGAGCAGGACATCTCCTACGGCGGCGCACGCTACATCGGCACTGGTCGTGGTTTTGCGACCTCCCGTATCCCTTTTGGCGTGCTCTATTCGCGATTCGCCGGCAATGCCATCTACCTCGGCTTCCGACTCCTGCTGATCCTGCTGTTCGCTTCCGTGACCATCTGGCAGGCTGGGCTGGTTTACTTTTGGATCTCGGTTCTGGCGCTGACGCTCTCGCCGTTCTTGTTCAACCCGCACCAGTTTGCCTGGACAGACTTCTTCCTCGACTACCGCGAGTTCATCCGCTGGCTGTCCCGCGGCAACTCGAGGTCACACAGCTCGTCTTGGATCGCATTCTGCCGCCTGTCGCGCACGAGAATTATCGGACACAAGCGCAAGACCCTGGGCGAGATATCGAGGACCGTGTCGGACATTACGCGGCCGCCCATCTTGAACCTGTTTCTCAGCGAGATTTTGTCGCCGCTCTTGCTGGTTATCGTCACTCTGATCCCGTACCTCTTCATCAATGCGCAGACCGGCGTCACCTCGGCAAATAATGGCCAAGAAAAGATTGTACCGACCGATTCTCTTATCCGCGTCCTCATCATTGCTGTCGCGCCGGTGGGTGTGAATCTGGCTATCCTTGCCGCCATGTTTGGTATGGCTTGTTGCATGGGTCCTGTCTTGAGCATGTGCTGCAAGAAGTTTGGTTCCGTGCTGGCCGCCATTGCCCACGGCGTTGCCGTCGTGATTATGCTGGTTTCGTTTGAGGCGATGTTCGTCTTGGAAAGCTTCAACTTTGCGCGTACCTTGGCCGGCCTCGTCGCCGTCATCGCTATCCAGCGATTCATCATCAAGTTGATCGTCACATTGGCGCTCACGCGAGAGTTCAAGACGGATCAGTCTAATCTCGCCTTTTGGACGGGCAAATGGTACTCGATGGGGTGGCATTCACTGTCGCAGCCCGCCCGTGAGTTGCTTTGCAAGGTGGTCGAGCTGAGCATGTTTGCGGCTGACTTTATCGCTGGGCACTGGCTGCTCTTCCTCATGTTTCCGCTGCTGATCATCCCGAAAATCGACACCCTGCACTCTATGCTCTTGTTTTGGCTTCTACCGAGGTATGTTGATGTCTTATTCCCATCGCCGTCTGTGCTGTATCGCTGACCTAGTCTCTAGTCGCCAGATACGCCCACCCATTTATTCGATCAAGCAGTCTAGACTGCGAAAACGGCAGGTGGCTCGATTCGCCGCCATGTACTTTGTGCTCCTCATCGTGTTTGTTGGCATGATTGCCGGGCCAATCGCGTACAATAATTCCCAGAAGAATGTTTCGTTTTTGAGCGACATATCGAATATTGGAGGCTTTATACTGGTGCAACCAAACCACCAAGACAACAATAATACGTCCAACGATACCACTCTATCCACCGACACAACCAGTTCAGGCACGCCCACAGCTACACTGTCCTAAGTGTATTTTGTAGTATAGATAGATATATAATAATAATAATATATTCCTGTTTGCGTCTTAGGTTGTATAAGAAGCTCTATATATTTTAGCTATAAGAATGGCTTAAATGCTTAGATTGGTTTAGGTTAAAGTAGTAATAAATCTTATATTACTATTTTAAATAGCCTATAATATAGCATTATAATTTCTTAGGCCTTTAGTAGTTAGAATAGAGGATAGTGAATTAAATCATTAGTGGACTATTATAAGAGTGTTTTATATTCTATTAGCGGCTAGCCCACATAATTTTAATTATTAGTAAATAATACAGATTATATATATATTTAGTTTATAGAGCTTATATTTATAATATATAATACAACCTAGTATAGAGCTTTGTATAGTATAGTACACTACGCTTAGTCCGTTACTATTATATTATAAGGTTGTCTCTTTAGTTTTATTTTCTAGAGTCCATTATGATATTTAACTAGATAGCTTTAATAACTATTAAGGGTCTTATACTTAGTAGTGTTTCTAGAGAGATACTGCCCTCTAGCGACCTATATAGTAAGGCATCTAGCTAGGTAGTATATTTAGCGACATTATTATATATACTAGTAGCTTCCTTAATATTCTTTAGGGTATCTTATATTAGTTAGTTTAATAGCTAAGATAGAGAAAGTGTAATTTAGTTAGTAGTGCCTCTCCTAAATGACTACCTATATATAAAGTAGTAAGATTTATAGGTCTAGGCACTTATTCGCCTTCTATAGACTGTACTATACTACTTACACTACTTCCTATAGTTAGTATATAGTACTATAACATTAGCTAATAAGACTTATATTATCTTCCTATTAAGATAGTATAAATAGTAGTTAAAGATAGATATATTAGTATTAGTATTATAGGTCTTTATATTATTAATATAAAGAATATAAGATAGTATTTTTTATTTATTTAGTTTATAGTAGCTAGTGTAGAAGTCTAAAAGAATAACTATAAGCCTATACTATACATCTACTTTAAAGTTAAACTATTACTTAAAAAGCCTATAAGTTATAATATAAAGTGTCTACTCCTTAATAGCTATTATCTTTACTATTACACTATCTCCTAGGTAGTAGTTTCTAAAGCGGACTTACCTAAAGTCTCTTCCTAAGTGTTTAGTATCCTTATTTTTAGTAACTAAAGTAGTGTCTACTACTGTATATTAAGTATAAAATATAAATAGGTGGGTAATAGATTAGGTGTAAATTAATAGTTTTTTAGTGTTATAATATAAGAGCTTAGACTATAGCCTAGTTAGACTAATAGCCTAGTGGCCTAAGGTATAGACTTAATAGGGGGGGGACTCCCCTTTATATATAGTAGCTACTTTATTATAACCTCTCTATCTCTTCCCTCTATAAAAGATTTAATTTAACCTTATATTAATACCTACTTATAGTAGCTATAGGGCTAGTCCTTAATATATAATCCATATATAGTGTTTATTTATAGTTACTTTATCTATTATAAGATAATACTAGCTATAGTAGTAGCTTCCCTAGCTTATATTCTAGTAATTTATAGGCGTGTATATAGTGTATTAGTACTACTAGTAGTATAAACTATCTAGACTGTCTACTCTAAGGGGACAATCCTTTCACCTACCCGCCACTTCCTAGTATATAATATTCTTAGCCTTTATCTACTAAGTAGGTAGTAATAAAACTATTAGAGTAGTGTTTAAAGATTAAGAATATAGAAATAATATCTTTTTTTAGTGCCTTCTATAGTCTATTAGTATAATACACTTATAACTATTCCTTTACTCAGGAGAGGGGGTGGAGTCTATATACTGTCTATACGAACACTTTTCCTATAGATCTATTGTCTTAATAGAGGCTATAGAATTTATACTCTATAAACTAAGGAGGCTCTTTATAATAGTATAAATTTAGATTATAATAGTTCGCTTAGAAGCTTATAATAATACTCCTAATAAAGGATATACATTAGTAGTTATAAGACTATAGACTTAATAAAAGTAATATAGTTAAAATTACACTAGTGACATTATAGATTAATTAGGAGAAACTACTATAGTATAGTGCCTAGTAGATAATAGTAGTATATCTACTAAAACGTATAAAGTAGTTATAGTTAGATCTTAAAGCTTCTATAGAAATATATAGACTAGTAATAATAAGAATAATAGTAAGGCTATAATGTGTCTATTTATAGATTATTAAAGGTTTCTAATATTAAAGAAGAGATAATATTAATTACTGTATATAAAAGAGCACTACTACCTATAGTAATTAAATATATAATAAAATATAAAAAGTAGGCTAACTAACTAATACTATCGCTTGTTTTTAAACTATATAACACTGAGTTTTTAGTTAGAGAGATAAGCGTGTATATATTAAAACAGTTAAAAGCAACTAGTATAGTATTAAGGATAATAAAGGAGGCTAGTATTACATAATAAGATTTTTAGTATAAATTCATAGATTAGGCCTAAGAAGGACACTCGTTAATATTAGTCGACCTAGTTATAGATAGCCTTAGGAACCTTTTCTACCTTTTATAAATAATACTTCTTTATATAATACTATAAGCTATTATAGAATACTAACTAATATTCTAATATATATTATATATTTTAGGTAGGTATGTATGTTTCTACTAGCTGTGCCTACTTAATACTAGAGTAAATCTTTTATACTCTACTCTACCCCCTAAGGTCGTTTCTAGAATGAAGTTAGCAGCTTTTAAGACTAGACACCTACTAAGTAGCACCTAGCCAGTAGAGCACTTTAGGCCGTAAGATAGGATATTAGCACTATATAGACTATATACACACTAGGCCTATAGATATAGATATTTTCCTAGTAGACTTTCTATCTAAAGAAAATTACTATACTCTTAATAGTAGAAAAGGTGGATATAGATAGGTCTACTAGATAGGAAAGAGGCGTATTATAAAGTCCACAGTCTATATATATAACTATAGGTGAAGTTTAATGAATATTAGTATATATCGCTTAGTTTATACTATAGTATTAATAGTCACTAGTCTAAAAGAAGTAGTGGTTCTAGAATTAACACCACCTTTAATTTAATTGAATTTAATTTAAATATTTATATCTATTAACGCCCTAATATAGGCTTTTAGACGTACTATTAAGCCTTCTATAGATAAACGTATAGGCGTACCCACTTAGTAGGCCCCTATAGGGCGGCACGCGCCTATATTCTCACTAGTTGCCCCTAGAATACTCTCCCTACTATTATCCTCTAACTATAGTAGTATTACGCCTAATAGTATATATCTATTTAAATTAATACCCATTAGGAAGATTATAATAATACTAGTATAATATAACTATAGTAGTAACTATAAGCGTATTATACTAATAACTTTTATCTCCTAGTCTTTCTATAGGGACTAGTAGGAGCCCTAGTACTTAATTTAATAATTTTATTTTATTTTATTTTATTTAATGTCTATAGTATAGCTCTAGTGTAAGTAAAGAGATATACTAACTATACTTAATAGATAAATGTACTACTATTTTAAAGCTTATTACCTTTAATTCTAGTATAATCTAGACACTAACGCACATAGATTATACCTAGGTTTATATTACCTGTCTTCTAAAATATATAGAATGTTATTTATAATAATAGTAGTACTATTATACCTATATAGTTAATAACTAAAGTAGTATTAATATAGATAGTAATATTTTCCTTTTAGTGTTATTATATAATTATAGTATAGAGGCCCTCTAAGGCGCCTCTAATCTTAGTGTTAAACACTTCACCCTTACGTATCTATCTATAACCTTATACTATAAGCCACTACTACTAATAGACAGTATACCCCTATCCTACTATGTCTCTTTTAGTTTTACTTAATTTAATAAGGGTAATATTCTATAGGGCATTAGGGTAGCTACACTATAGGCTACTATAGTACTATAGACATCTATAGAAAGACAATAGAAAGCTATAGGTAATAATATAATAACTAAGAAGTGTAAAAACGTGGATCTATTAACCTAAGGCGTACTATATAAATAAATAATAGAGTAGGTTACTTTTCTAACTTTGTATATATCTATTCTCTAATCTTATACACTTAAATCTTTTTCTATAATATTAATTAATAATCCTAAGTGTAATTAGAGTAATTTTCAACTAAATCACTAACTAGAAAGCCGTTTTACTAGAAATAGATATAAGAAATATACTCTAGAGCCTTAGATAGGAGGATGCCCCCCCTATAATAGGTTAAACCTAATATAGGCTCAGTTTGTACTCTTACCTTCAGCCTAGCTATTAACTAGACCTATCTATAAGCTTAACTATAGATAATTTCTTAGGCTACTGTTACTAGCTTCTTAGTGCCTTATATAGGGTTCTTTAAGCTTTTAAGTTTAAAAGCACACACATTAGTAATACATTTCTTAAGTTTAACTAACTTAGTTTTACCACCCTATAAACACTTATCTACTAAGGGTTTACACTTATCTTATAGTAGTGAATAGCTAAAACAGTCGATAATAATAGTCTATAAGGGAGGATAGGCTTCTTCTACTACCTTCTTAACCTCCTTACCCTATGTGCTTATAGGAGGATATACAACTAGGGCGGCGATTAAAGTAGTAGTAAGAGTAGCAATAAGGATAAGAGGATACTATATTATAATAGTAGGATTAAGTAAATATAATTAATTTAGGATAATAAATAATAATAAAAGAAATTACTAAACGGCTTTTTTAAGTAGCTATTAAGTTTTTACTAGGTTTTGGATTTATAGTTAAACTTAGAAGGAATAGTAGACAAAGGCTTTCTATTTATTAAATTTTAATCTATTTATATTTATCTTACTAAGTGAAAATATATACCTCTTATGTATAATACTTAGTAGATATAACTTAAGGTATTAATTAGCTAGTATAAATTAAAAAGGATAAATTTTAGTGTTTTAAGTAGATTATTATATTAGGGAATTACTGTAT